TACATACATACATACATACATACATACATACATACATACATACATATACGTATAGCTGTCCGTATATTTAAAGCGGTTGACGATGGCGATAGCAATGGTTGGTGGCAGTGATGATACCGGAGGTAGCGGCTGTACGGGAGATAGATTGGGAGAATCGCTTGGCGCGGAGCGAGGGGAGCGGGAAGGGAGGGGGGGATTTGGGATGAGAGAGGAGGAACGTAGGAGAAAGAGTAACGGGGAGTGAAGCCTCTCGTTGGGTACTGCGAGCCAAGAAAAGAGACGGAAAACAGGCTCGGTACGCGGATGGAGGAAATAGAGAGATAGAGACGGAGCGGAGGAGAGTGGCAGAGAGAGGCGAAATCGGGAGAAAGCAGCGGCACCAGCAGTTGCCGCTCTCGGGGCGGCTGGCTGTTATCATGAGAAACAAGCTTCCACTCTGATTTTTTAATCCGATCCGCGCCCCCTGCCACCGGCTGAATTTTAAAATAACTGCAGAACGCCATTTGCTCCTCGCAAACAGACCGGGGTTAAGCCATCCCCCCGCCGCCACCGCCACCGCCACCGCCACCGTCACCGCCACCGCCATCGCCACTGCCACCGCCGCCCTGCCGTCTCCTCTTGGTGCTCTTGGCTCTTTTCTATCTTTCTCGCACTTTTCCTCTTCCCGTTCTATCGATGTCGGTCCACCTCGAGCGTTCTCTTCCCTTCGTGCTTTCCCTTCAGTACTCGCTACTCGCCTAAACCACTCTTCGCCTCCGTTCTCTCGACGTGAACGGAGGTAGTCCGCGTCTGCGACCTGGCGTCGTGCGGATAGGACGAGGAATATACAGCGGAAGGATAGGATAGGTTGGAGGAAACAGAACGATGTATATCAAGGCGTTCGTGCGCGCGCGCGCGCGTGGCATGGAAGCGCCTGATGCCAAATTGAAATGTTTAGCGCTTCGTTTCAGCTGCTTCAAATCCCGCATGCGGGGCGCCCCGGAATCGGAGCGAGACAAATAGAAGCAGGAAAAGTGCGACGGGTAGATAGCAGGAGGAAGAGTGGAGGGAGATAGGGAGGTGGCGAACGAGGGCGGAGGGTGACAACGAAGATAGAGGAGCGAGAAATACCGTGTGTAGGCCTGCCTCGGGGAGAAGGGTAGATAAGTGACAGTTTTATTAATTTCCCATCTCCCGTCGCCACTTCCACGCTCACCACCCCTATATCTAACCTATCCGACGCCACGCAACACCAGGGACGTCAGTCGCGCGTCCATACACGCCTTCCCACCCTCACCCTGTCGTCGGATACGTCTCGGGGTGTGCGAAGGCGAAAATAAAGCTCAATAATGGCGACGCGCCGTGACGGGGACACCACCGAAGTCCAGGAGGTGGTGGAGGTGTTGGTTGGGGATTTGAATCAACGATATCTCGTCGTTCAGCGATATTTTTATGAGAAAAGGTTTTTCACACTCAGAGTCCTATGTGAGCTTTTATTTATTTTGCAATTGTTTACTAAAGTACATACGTTTACGGAAATAACAACAATTAAATCGTAGCTTTTATAATTGAATTTTTTCTATGTATTATAATTCTTAATAAATCAAAGAGGGGTCTATGTACATTTGCGATAGAATTTAATAAGAACTGCAATCATTAATGACGAGTACGAATTAAGAATACCATTTTTCGATTAGATAAACCATTTTCGATTTCATATAAATCACTCGAGAGATCCGAAGCTTTGAATCGAGTCGCGACATCTCGACCAGATCGTATACGCGAACAAAAAACTACAAAAGGAAACGAGAGAGATGAATAAGAAAAAATAAAAATTCACAGAGAGAAGCAGAGGAAGAAGGACACAGTGGGAATGAAAAGAAAAGAGCGGAGAGAAAGTATCCTGTGAGTCCTAGCCGGTCGCTCTGGTGGTGGAAAATTTAATTTCGATCCCGTCGATTCAGCAGTTATACCGAAGTTTAATCTTTGATAAGGGTTAGTCTTTTAGTAATGGGATCCCAGAGGGTCGGTCGCTCCGATCCGACAGAGTGAGGCGGAAGGCAAGAAAGAGGTTGCTTGCTCTCCTTTTCTTTCCCTCCCCCCCTTCGCCCTTCTACTCTCTTTCTGCTCCATTCCTCTGGCCAGAAATGGAAGGAAAGAGCTTAAACCGTTAGATAGAGATCTGCTCTCGGGATGAAAGTAGTACCTACCTCTACCCGCTATATCGCTCTTCAAACCGAGCAGGACTCGGACTTTTATACCGACGTTGGGGAAGGCATAACGAGCCCCGTGATGGGATAAGTTTTCGACGTGAGATTCCGTGGAGGGTCTTCCAACCCCCCTTTGACCTCCGTTTCTTCGGTGTCTCGCGTTTATTTTCGCTCATTCGCGTATAAAATATGCCCCGTGTCTACCTATCTGTCCGTCTATTCGGGTCATGCGTCTCCCTTGAACGACGTAAACGTGTTCGTGATGTAGAACTTAATCCTCGACTAGTCTGGTGAGGATCGGGAACTGTTCGGAGAGGCCTACCAGACCAGTTATGGGATAATAAACGCGTGACTTAGTCTACAAGTTCTACATCTGCGTTCCGATTGCGAGACACAACTTGTTACCGAGAGCATAAACAAGCAACGATCTTCCATATGCTCACTATTGAATTCTCATCGTTATTGCTTCATTTGTTCGCATGTATTGCCTATGAAAATATTTTCTACATAGCCGCGGAATATGAGAGAGTAACTCGATGATTACTGTGTGTGAAGATTTATTTTGCATATAATTTTTTTTTACTTGAATTTGTTGTAGTTATGGCATGGATCTAAATGGTGCGAGGCGAAAAAACGCGACACGAGAAACAACGAGTACGCTTAAGGCGTGGCTAAACGAGCACAAGAAGAACCCATATCCTACGAAAGGCGAAAAGATCATGCTGGCTATTATTACCAAGATGACACTGACACAAGTGTCGACGTGGTTCGCGAACGCGCGAAGACGCTTGAAAAAAGAAAATAAAATGACGTGGGAGCCGAGAAACCGTGTCGAAGACGAAGATAATAATAATGAAGACGATGATAGCGGGAGGAAGAGCGTCGATGAGAAAGATCGGTTAGGTGAGTCCTACATTGCTTTGAATAGTTAAATGATTTTTTTTTAATTGCGTCATTTGCGTGACGTGTCGATTATCAATCGATCGATGCATCAATCATGTCTATCAATAATCAGCACTGCTATTATATTTTGAAGCAAATTCTTCCGCTTAAATTCTTAAGTAAATTCAAAGCTTCTTAGGTAAAAAAAAAAAAAAATTGAAGATTAGAAGCGGAATCATGTTACTCCGAATTACGACGCCCGTCTTTTTCTTCTCGGTTTTCAGATTCGAAAGACTCAGGTACAGGTTCCAGCGAGGATGGAGAACGACCGGCGCACCGTCTGGATCTACTGCACGGCGGCAGCGGCGGATCGGCGGGCGTCCAAGGTAGGACCGAGAGCGAGTGGAGTGAGTCGCGGGCGGACAGCGGCCCGGACAGTCCGGAATGCCTGTACGACCAGAGGGAGCCTAGGCATCCGTTGCAGCTGCAACATCCGGCATATCTCGCGCCGAATCACGGTCGGTTGTTGCGTCATCCCTCGCCGGAGAGTACGTCGCCGGGTAGCCAGCACCATCATCTGCCGCCGAGCACCAGCGCGCCATCCACGGGCAGCGCGGTGACGACGAAGCCGCGGATCTGGTCGCTGGCAGACATGGCGAGCAAGGACGGCGATCAGCAGAATACGAATCCAGCCACGATGACGGGTCTCACGTCACCGTACAGCGGAACGGGCGGAGGTGGAGGCGGCATCGGCAGCGGCGGCGGCGGTGGTGGTGGCGGCGGTGTTAGTGGCGGTGGAGGCGGTGGTGCCGCAGGGGGCAAACTCGTAAGCCCCTTGGCCAGTCGATTGCCGCCTCATCATCCTCTGCATCCGGCGATACATCCGGGCACGCAGTTCGTAAGACCGCATCCGGACTTCTACAGGAACTTGTACGGCGCGTCCCATCTCGGTTCCGGCGACATATCCCTGTTGGAGACGTACTCGAGAACTCTGGGTGGACTGGGCGGTGTGATACCGCCATCCACGGCCCCGAGCATACTCACATCGTCCTCGTCCTCGTCGATCTCCGCCGCTGGTAATGTGAAACCTTTCTCGATTAACGGCAGTAGCGGCGCGGCCGGCGGTACCACCACCGGATCGGCCGTGTTACTGACCACCGCGTCCTCCGGCTTGTCGCCGTCGTCATCGTCGACGGCGTCGTCGGGCAGGTCCGATCATTCGCCCCATCCGGCGGGCGGCGGTCTCCCCGCGACTCAGGAACTCAAATCCCCGGGACGAGTGTGACTCGACGTAGCGACCGATCGCTAAAAAAAAAAGACGTTTATCGCGAGCGCGCGCTGTGCATCCGGCGGGCGTTTTGTGTGGTGTGGCTGACAATAATCAGAGACTACGACCTTGTAATTAGTGTACAGTAAAACGGGAGATGAAGAAATATACTGCCCCGATCCGTTCCTCGTTCCTAGTCTTTTCTTTCCTCGTTCTTCCTTTCGATCATTCGTCATCGTCAATGTTCCTTCTTCTTCTTTTTTTAATCTCTCGCTTCCCTTCCCTCTGTCCTCCTCGACTTCCGATCCAAATTTTATTTTCTGCATTCGATTACTCACGATTAAAAACGGAAAACTCGTAGTACCGACTATCCAATAGTGGCTATCGCGGTATAACCGTACAACAACTAGCGCGTCAACTCGACAGTACTATTACACACACATATAAATATTATAAATATCTAAAGATATACGATAATATAATTAATATTATTTATGCGTTTGTAAATAGTAGAGAGAGGCCCAGTAGAGAGAAATCGTCCGGCCAGTGTATGTATTGTATGTAGAGTAGACACTATATTACTAGCCTACCTGAGATCATAATTCATATTAATGACGAATTATTATTATTATGATTATTATGATTATTATTATGATTGTTATTGCAATGTTTATAATATTATCGATTCACGTGACTCGGTCGAGCATGACGAGATATGAGTCGTTAAATCGCGGCGACAGATTGCGAGGGATCGCCGGAATGTATAAAGATTCTTGGAGATCGATCCTTGGTTCCTCTTCTTGTAAGTAATCTTCTCCTTTATTTATTTTGCTAAAAATTATTGGCTCGTGATAATTTTTCGCAAGAGCGCGAACGAAGGCTGCGGCGAAATCGCGAATCGACGTGCCTTCGTCGACTCGCAAGCTGCGACGTCGCTCGCAATCTGCTGCAATCCCGTCGTCGTTGCGTAGAAAAGGAACGTTCTAAGTTACACGAAGGTGAAGCCACGGGCACAACGGCTGTCAACATATCATGTCATGTCGAGAGTGAACGATCGCCATCACCTTTTAGTCATTCGTGTCCAAAATTTCACGCGAGCCCACTGATGTCGCACTGACACGCGACATTAACGCAGACTGTGTCCTTTCGCAATAAACGAATCATTACGGAAAGCAAACGAGTTATCATTTCTTGTACCTAGCTCTTCGCCAGCAATAGCACCACTTAATCATATATTCCCGTCGAGTGTTTATTATTTCCATTTTATACATGTTAATTTTTTCAAGCAAAATTTTCCATTTTACTTTTTGATGTGGAATTATCGTCTTTTCAATTATACTAAGAGACATTCCGTGTAAGTATCGAATTTATCGACTGACTTAACAATCAAATACAATTCGGTATTCTTGAACGTACCCCGCTTTTCCGACTCGAGTAACATTGTTGATTATTATGCCATTCGAGTCGAGGGTCTAATCGTGCATCGTGCGCAATTCAGCAGAGACAATACATACATGAGGAGGCTTCTAGTCGACGTAGGGGACCGTCCTTTCAGAACGGTGAATGAATATGAAACGTTCTCATTCTCGGAACCAGGACGGCCGGGATGTACTTATAAAAATGCAAAGCGACCGACTTCTGGGTGGTTGCTGGACAAGCCTGGTTATTAGTAAACATTTAAATCGACAATTCCTATAGGTATACGGACAGCGGGGAACGTCGCTTTCGTCCCGTCTCTACCTCTCTCTCCTCTCTTTCTGCATCTTTCCCCGGCGCGTTCCTCCTCTCTCTCTCTCTCT